CCAGCGGAATAGCTTGCTTTTTGGCACTTAATCGTATCCCTTTGAAAAACTGCCAACTCTCCTCAGTTGTTTTTCCCCTCAGTCTTGATTCCCATGGGACCTTACCTATCAGCTCTCTGAGCTTGCAAAGATCTCCCTTCCCGTAATCCATTGTCGCGAACTTGATGTTCTCCCTTCTACCCTTCGTTAGAATTGCAAACTCTATGATTTCATGATTTCACACTTTCACCCAGGCTGCCTTCTACTTTCACATTCTCAACGAGTTCCTCCCTATTTGTTAAAATCAAGTCTAGAACAGCTTCCCCCCTAGTAGCTTTTTCACCCTTCTGAAATAAAAAGTTGTCTCCAATGCAGTCCAAGAATTTGTTGGATAGTCTGTGCCCCGCTGTGTTATTTTCCCAACATATATCCGGATAGTTGAAGTCCCCCATCACCACCAAATCTTGGGCTTTGGATGATTTTGTTAGTTGCTTGAAAAAAGCCTCATCCACCTCTTCCACCTGGTTAGGTGGCCTGTAATAGACTCCTAGCATGACATCTCCCTTGTTTTTTGCCCCTTTAAGCCTAACCCAGAGACTCTCAACACTTCAGTCTCCTATGTCCATCTCTACCTCAGTCCAAGTGTGTACATTTTTAATATATAAGGCAACACCTCCTCCCTTTTTCCCCTGTCTATCCTTCCTGAGCAAGCTGTACCCATCCACACCAACATTCCAATCGTGTATTATCCCACCAAGTTTCAGTGATGCCAATGTATGTGGATTCAAATGCTGAAAGCATTGCAAACTGAATTTTCTTCAACAGTTAAATTTCACTGGCAGGGACATCCACCAGGTCAGAATATCTCCCCATGATATCTCTTGGTAGCTTCAAGTGCACTCCACGGATCTCCAAACTTTGATGCCCACAATTCTGAGCTTTTTAACTGAATGAGCTGCATTTCGAAATCTTCAACACCCATCCACTGAAATACAGACAAATCCAAGTAGCTTTCCTTGAACTTTTCAGGTTTAATTAGAAAAGAAAGCATTGGGCCAAATTGCTGGAAATCTTGAAATCTGTCAGAAAATTCTGATTCCAGTTTTTAATGGAGATATCCTATCTCCTAGAGCTGGAAAGGACCTTGAAAGGTCATTGAGTCCAGCTCCCTGCATTCCCTAGCAGGACCAAGTACTGATTTTGCCCCAGATCCCTAAGTGGCCCCCTCAAGGATTGAACTCACAACCCTGGGTTTAGCAGGCCAAGGCTCAAACCACTGAGCTATCTGTCCCCCGAATTCTAGTATCAGTATTGAACTATGGGAAAAAGCATCATAATTCAGGAGATTTAATGTGACTATTCAATAATTAAAGGGGAAAACTCAATTCTGAGGGAGCAGCAGAGGCTGGGCCTGGGCTCCTGGTTCACAATGGCAGCTGCAGCAGCATCTGGCCAGGGAAACGAGCCAACACAGCCTCCCCTCCCTGAGCAATAGCCAGAGCTCTTTGGTGGGGGCAGCTGGTGAAACAAACAAACCAGAGACAGAGACCCAGAGAAACGTGGCCCCTGCTGCCATTCAGGGCCCTACAACACTCTCCCTGGGGCCAAGTCCCATCAGCCCTGGTGGGCCTTTATTTTGGCCACCCCCAGAACAATCCCAGGTCCCTCTAGACACCCCATGTGACAGGTTCGGTCACAAAGACCCCCTTCGGACTGTCACCCGATGCGCTGAAACTAACTCTGAGCCTGCTAGCTTGGAACTCCAGAACCCTGTATTGTTGAACCAGACATGCTAGCCTGCTGCAACACAGACCCAGGGTCTGAGCCATGCCCCCAAAGCTGCTGACTTAACTGAAAACAGCTCAGCAAGTACTCCTGTCTCCAGCATCCAGACACCCAACTCCCAATGGGATCCAAATGCCAAATAAATCCATTTTACTCTGTATAAAGCTTATACAGGGTAAACTCATAAAGTATTCACCCTCTATAACACTGATAGAGAGATGCACAGCTGTTTGCTCCCCCAGGTATTAATCACTTACTCTGGGTTAATTCATAAACGAGTGATTTTATTAAGTGTAAAAAGTAGGATTTACGTGATTCCAAGTAATAACAGACAGAACAAAGTAAGTTACCAAGCAAAATAAAACAAAACACACAAGTCAAAGGGTACGTCTATACTTACCTCCGGGTCCGGCAGTAAGCAATCGATCTTCTGGGATCGATCCCGGAAGTGCTCGCCGTCGATGCCGGTACTCCTGCTCCGCAAGAGGAGTACGCGGAGTCGACAGGGGAGCCTGCCTGCCGCATCTGGACCCGCGGTAAGTTCGAACTAAGGTACTTCGACTTCAGCTACGTTATTAACGTAGCTGAAGTTGCGTATCTTAGTTCGAAGTGGGGGGTTAGTGTGGACCAGGCCTAAGCCTAATACATTGAGAAACTGAATACAGATAAATCTCACCCTCAGAGATGTTCCAATAAGCTTCTTTAGCACATTAGACTCCTTCCTAGTCTGGGACCAAACCTTTCCCCTGGTACAGTCCTTGTTAGTTCCAGCTCAGGTGGTAACTAGGGGATTTCTCATGAGTGGCAGCCTCTTTGTTCTGTTCCACCCCCTTTTATAGCTTTGGCACAAGGCGGGAATCTTTTGTCTCTCTGGGTCCCCACCCCTCCTTCTAAATGGAAAAGCACCAGGTTTAAAATGGATTCCAGTATCAGGTGACATGGTCACATGTCCTGTGAGACCCCAAGCCTCCATTCTTCCTGGCCTGACTCACAGGAACACAGGGAGGCTTACAAGTAAACAGAGTCATTTACAACCAATTGTCCTAGTCAATGGGAGCCATCAAGATTCTAAACCACCATTAATGGCCCATACTTTGCATAATTATAATAGGACTTCAGAGTTATACTTCACATTTCTAGTTTTAGATACACAAATGATACATACATTAGGATGACCACACTCAGTAGATTATAAGCTTTGTAAAGATACTTTACAAGAGACCTTTTGAATGAAGCATATTCCAGTTACATTATATTCACACTCATTAGCATATTTCCATAAAACATATGGAGTGCAATGTCACACATCCCTCATGGGGTGTCTTCATTTCTGTCCCCACCAACTGTGTCTGAGGCGTGGGGAGGCCAATGCTAGCGTGACTGCATCCTCCAGACTTTCCAGAGTCCTGCATCCTAGCTGGGGGCAGGGAGGAGGGCTGCATGAGGGAATTTGCCTATCTCCTCTGTGGAGGGACCCATCCAGTCCAGACATGCAGGACTGTTGTCAGAGATATGACTGAGAACAGGAGGTCTCATGGAGTGTGAGAGATGTGTATGGAGAACTGGTCCTAGGGTCAGTATTTTCTGTGGCCACCATCTCGGGGATTCTATTGTTTCTGGTTCTGTTTTTGAACATAAAGAATTTAGGGGCAAAAAGCAGCAGCGCGGATGGGGAGAAATTAACAAAGGGGAAAGTGAGGCTGAGTCTCAGGGGAAACACCCTGGCAGTGAGATCTGTGGGGTTGGAGAGCCATCCCCGCAGGGCCAGCGCTGGGCACCCCATTATTCCATGTTGCCTCTGGGAACCCTGCATCACCAAGCCCCCTGAGACTTCACAGTGCATATGAGCTGAAACAGCCCCACAGCCTCCCCTGCTCTGGGCCTCCTCCCTGTGCTGCCTGCAGGCTAAGTGAGGCACAAGCATCGGTAGCAGCCTGGTGTATTGCAGCCTGCAGGATTCCCCAGTTGGCAGCAAGCGGTGCTGCCCCCCACAGTATGTCAGCTGCACTGCACAGCATTTTTCTGGGGTCCTTAAAGATAGAGACTTTGAGGTAAAAAATTGGCCGTTGGAATGAGCTTCACTGTTATGGCTGCCACCCCCATCATCTCCTGGGACCCTGGACTTTATTCTAGTCCTAAAAAATCTCCTGACCAGACTGGGCCAGAGAGAGGGAGCCAAATGGCATTGCCACAGGGGTGGTGGATCCTTCCCCAAAGTGGGGGGAGCAGGGGCCCCCGCCCCCTCTGTGGCCTCTTGCCTTCCACCCAAAGAAGCCGCGGATCCTCCACCTGCCCAGGGGGAGTGGAGTGGGCCAAGAGCAGGCCCCAGCCCATATCCCCACCCTGTGGGCCCCCCACCCAGGGCAGGAGGGTCCGTGGCTCCCTACAGCAGCCTGCGCGGCTCTTACCCTGACACAGTTCCATCCAGGGGACAGGCCTTGAAGCTGCAGCCCGGCCATGGTACAAACCACATGGGGAGCCACGGACCCTCCATCCACCCTAGGCAGGAAGCACAGGGGGCGGGGACATGGGCTGGGGGCTGTTCTCGGTTCCACCTATCCCCTGCCGGTCACGTGGAGAGTCTGCGGCTCCCAGTAGATATATGGTGGGCCCTGACTGCAACTGGAGATTTAAAAATCCAAATTTTGGTTGCTGTGTTTGAAAATCTTGGCTGAACCATTTTCCCATCCTGGCAGAATCTCTAGAGCATCTATCTGCAGGGAAAGAACCTGGAGAGAATTGGGACATGAAATGGATTAAAGCCCCTTCTGAAACATCCCCTATCACCCTTCTTGCCCTGACAGGCTGCAGAATCACATCCACATTTCACTGGAGATCATCCCATCCTCCTAAGGACAGGGCAGGGAAATGGCTGCAGGGGAGCTGGTGACCTTCGAGGAGGTGGCTGTGTATTTCACCGAGGAAGAATGGGCTCTGCTGGACCCAGGTCAGAGAGCTCTGTACAGGGCTGTCATGCTGGAGAATTTTGAGACTGTGACCTCACTGGGTAAGGATTCCTGTCCCCTCGGTTGTTAGAAGCCTGGGGGGGGGGGTGCATCTCCGAAGCACCTGGGTCAAATTCTGAATAGGTTTCTTCAGTGCCCCCCCAGAGTTCAAGGGGATCAGCCCCAATAGTCCCCAGACCCCATTTGTGTGAGACTGTTCCCCCAACATCCCCTCGCATGGGACAGGAGATTCAGGACATAATCTTGGGGTTGTTCTCCCCATAACCAAGGCTTGCAGGTGTGACAAACTCATTGTCTCCCCACTCGTCCTTCCCAGGACAGGTCCTGGCCACACACCCCTCTGCTGTCTCAGGGATGGACAAGTGTCTCATGACTCAACTCTGCCTAAGTTCCCAGGGGCCAGATTTTCATATGCACTTCACTTTCATGTGGCCAGTATTCCGCCTTGCCCAGCTGTGTTAGCAGGAGACCCCAGATATTCTTGACTCTCCTCCACCAGCCGGGAAGGGCACAGGTGAGAGTCCTGGGGCTCGGTCTAGTTACTGTTAGTACCCCAGGGCTACCTGTTGAGCCAGTTTGTTGGATTCTTGGAAGGAGGGTGTTGTTCCGGGTGTCCCTCTGTGGCCGTGGTTGATCTCTGTGAAATGATGGTTCCTCACCGTGAGAGGGGCTGGGTTCTGGAGCTCAGTGAGGGTTTTTGAAGTAGTTGGCTGAGATTGTAAAAGCCCTACAGTCAATGTGAAGGCATTTATCTTTGACCGTCGGTAATGCAATAACTTTTGAATGCCACATTCAATCAATTTCAACATTTTGGGGAATGTTTTAGGCATCGGTGGCCAGAACATTATTGATTGTGGGAAACATTGGAAAAATATAAAAGGGGGAAGTGGGAACAAATGCAGCCCCTGCCATCTGTTTAGCACAGCCATGGTTTCACCCACCTCTGCAATTGTCTATAGCTCACGCAACTGGTTCACGGCAGCCTTGATGCTTTTCAGCATAACAATCCGGCAGCTCATCTTTGCTCATCCTCCCAATAGTTTTTAACATGGTGACACCCTGAATGACTTATCACCCAGAATGACTTATCACCCAGACAGAAAGAATAGAAATAACCTGGGGGGTGGGGAGAGAGAGAGAAATGGGAGGGCAAGGGGTGTGCACGCAGGCCCTGGCATGGGCTGGAGAGTTGGGGACCCTGGTGTGGGGGAAGGGAGGCACTCAGAGCCGCTGCCGTATGGGGAGGGGGAAATGGTGGTATAAGAGGCCCTGACATGGGGGAAAAGGGGAACTCTGCTATGGGGGAAGAGAGAAATGGGGGGACGAGAGAACCCTGCCATGGGGGCATATGGCAGGAGGGGAGTATGGGGGTCACAGATAGAGCCCACGGCCTGGGGGAAGATGAGGGGCCCCAGAATGCAAGGAGGAAGGCTTGGGGCACACAGGCCGGGGAAGGAGGGAGATGGGGGGTTGTAGGGAGTCCCTGAAAAAGAGGGGGATGAAAGGCGGCACACCAGGATCTTGGAGGGGGGGGTAGCCCCTTGTGCATGCAATGATAGTGGCAGAAACTTAATTGTACCCCAGATACCTAAAGAGTGTCACAACTCTGCCCACCCTCCCAGGGAAATAAAAGTTAGAGTCATTCCCTAGGCAGAGTGGATCAATACTTAGTCCTGCCTTGAGTGCAGGGGACTGGACTAGATGACCTCTTGAGGTCCCTTCCAGTTCTATGATTTCTATGAACACTTGCTCCAGACCAGTGCATCATGGAATCTTGTATAGTGTATAGCCCAGTCCCCATAGTGTAAAGGGTGGAGAGAGGAAGGGCCCTCTCTGGATGGGCTACTCAGATCCTGGGTCTGGAAGGAGTAACAGCACTGACCTTAATGAACAAGATCAACACTTGTTTCCTTGCCCCCCCCCCAAGCAGGATTTCTGATTTCCAAGCCCAATGTGATCTTCTGGCTGGAACAAGGGGAGGAGCGGTGGGTCCCCGATCTCCAGGGCTACGAGGAAAGGGAGATCCCAAGAGATGCCCACATAGGTAAGGAATCAGCGAAACTGACTCAGAAACTAGTTATTATATCCTCCTGGCAGACGTCACTTATGCATTTTCAACAAGCTATTCAGAGGATGTGGAGGAAGGGTGGGTCCCTGGGGAAGGATTGGAGGAGTAGGCTTCAGTTCCTGGTATTTCGTTCTCCCCGGGAGTTATTTGGGTTTGTTCCCCCCTTTCCTGTTCTCCTCTCTGTGGTTCCCTTTCCTCCCAGCACAAGGAGTGACTCCTGTCTGGATTTTCTCTCTATCCCAGCAGGTGATGGGACGGTGAATGAGAACGAGGAGGAGAATCTTCAGCAGGAAGGTCCGGAGCAAATGGAACTGCACAGGACTCCATCAAGAAGCTGTGAAGGGAACATTTCCCTGAGTCCTGATCAAGGAGAAGCCCAGGAAAGTCAGCACAAGTCAGAGCGGCAGCAGGGAAACCATCTAGGGAAGAAACCATGTGAATCCACTCACAGGAGCAGAAGAGTTGAGAAAATCAAAGAATCTGTTTTGCTCAGAATCCCCATTGGAAAGAGACCCTATGCAGGCAGTGACTGTGGGAAAAGCTTCCCTCAGAGATCAGCCTCGCTTACTCACCAGAGAATCTGCTCAGGAAAGAGAGGCAGCAAGTGCCCCGAGTGCGGGAAATGTTTCAGAGACAACTCAAGCCTCGTTAGACATCAGAGAACCCACACAGGAGAGAAAACCTTCCAATGCCCCAAATGTGGGAAATGCTTCAGTGCCAATGCAAACCATATGACACATCAGAGAATCCACAGTGGAGAGAAGCCCTGTAAGTGTCATAATTGCGAGAAAAGCTTCAGGGACAACTCAGACCTCACTAAACACCTGAGAATCCACACGGGGGAGAGACCCTACAAATGCAATGAGTCTGGGAAAAGCTTCAGTGTCAGCTCCCACCTTTCCCATCAGAGACTCCACAAGGGAGAGAGGCCCTACAAGTGCCAAATGTGTGGTAAAAGCTTTAGTCGGGACACACATCTCATTGGCCATCAAAGAGTCCACAGAGCAGAAGGGCCCTATGTCTGCCCTCTCTGCGGGAAAGAGTTCAAGTACTACTCAAAACTTATTAAGCATCAAAAAAATCCACCAAGGGCACAAACCCTAGAAGTGTCCTTGCTAGGGATGGGTCAAGTGAATCACAACTTGACTGATTTCCCCAAATCTCTGAGGGTCAGGCCAAGCTGGAGTGGCCATGTACTGAGGACATGCAGTTGTTAAAGCAGAGAATGAAATCACCTTCCTGGAACAAAGTCAGTTAGAGGAAGAACCTGAGATAAGCTTCCCACATTGTGAATGAATTTGATTATTATTTCTCGAGAAGCTCTGTAGGTCCTGTTCAGCTGCTTTTTTCAAGTTTGGCACCAGTGTATTCTTATATACGGTGGCTTCTGACTTATTCCTGATAGCGTTTGAACTAATGAAATTGATACATTCAAGAGCAGCAACGGGCTCAGTTAGATTCAAAATGCAACATCCTGACCTGGGTGGTGGGCGCTGAGTTAGGACAACGGTTTCTTTGTGACTTTATTGCTTTGAACAAGGGGGAACAAGACGGATCTCAGTTTCTCAAACTATCTAGAGAGGACACGAGAGTGAAATTGAGTCTCTGTGGGTGCGATGGGGCCTCCAGGAAAGTTTGTTTAAAGGTTTATTGTACGCTGTACAATCTAGCAACTGTAGTTACCCTGAGGTTCTGCTTTTTATTCCCTTAAATTCCATGAATTATAGATCTAGAAGATTTAACTAGATATCTTAGTTACTGGTTATTACCGTGGAGTTACATGCTTCCACTGGCATGGGTCTCCAGCTGTTCATTTTGATACATGTATCCACTACACCAGGGAGGGCAAACTATGGCCCGCGGACTGGATCTGGCCCATCAGGGCTTTCAATCCAGCCCACGAGATTGCCAGCCCCATGGCGCAGCGGGGCTAAGGCAGGCTCCCTACCAGGGATGACTCCAGGGTTTTTGCTGCCCCAAGCAGCCAAAAAAAAAAAAAAGCAGCGATCGCGATCTGCGGCACTTCGGCGGGAGGTCCTTCGCTCCGAATTGCCGCCAAATAGCTGGACGTGCTGCCCCTCTCCGGAGTAGCCGCCCCAAGCACCTGCTTGGTAAGCTGGTGCCTGGAGACGGCCCTGCTCCCTACTTGCCCTGGCCCCGCATTGCTCCCGGAAGCGGACAGCACCACGTCCCTGCGGCCTCTGGGGCAGGGGAGCAAAGGGCTCCATGTGCTGCCCTCACCTGCAGGCACCGCCCCCCACAGCTCCCATTGTTCAGGAACAGGGACCCTCAGACAATGGGAGCTTCAGGGGTGGTACCCACAGGCCTGCCCCACCCCCAGAAGCCACTGCTGGACATGCTGGCTACTTCCGTGAGCGGCACAGGGCCAGGGAGGCAGGGAGCCTACCTTAGCCCCGCTATGCGCCGCTGTTACCCTGGAGCTGCTCGAGGTAAGCGGCACTTGGCCGGAGCCCACACTCCAAACCCCTCCTGCATCCCACACCGCTGCCCTGAGCCCCCTGCCACACCCATCCTGCACCCCAAGCCCCTGCCATACCCCACACCCCTCCTGCAACCCAACCCCTTGCCCTGAGCCCCTTCCTGCACCCTACACCCCCTCCCACACCTCACGCCTCCTGCCCCATCCCTACACCATGGCCCTGTATACAATTTCCCCACCAAGATGTGGCCCTCAGGCCAAAAAGTTTGCCCACCCCTGCACTACACTGTCCTATAATGAGGAGGTGAATGCAGTGACTAAATTCTACATAGTTGTGAATTAATCCAATTACATTTAGAAACCAGGTTCATTAACTACATTGTAGTTCCGTTGTAATTAGCTTATTTCATTTTTAGATACAAACACTTAGCACAATATATCAAAAAAGTCTCTTCACACTCAGGCCAGTGTAAATACATAGAAATTACTTCACTGGAATATAAAAGTACCTGATCAACAGCATATGGAACACAAGGGACAATAATAAGAGATTCCATTTTAAAGTTAATTTGCTATTTGTATGAACTAGTGGTAAGGACAGATGTAATCACAGTCACTGGGCTAGAAAGGGAATCCACATGGTTTACCTGGAACTGGAGTATGGTCGGATCACTGAAGTCTGTCCATGGGAAAGTTTTACTGGTATACACTTTTCTGCTATAACTATACAGGTGTAAATATAGTGAAAGTGTGTGTCCACACTGCTTTGTTTATGTTGGCTTAAACTACTGCCCTAGTGACTCATTGCATCCACACAGCTCTGCACTTTTTCAAAATAAGTGCACAGCCTTCTGGGTAGTTATCCCATGGTACAATGTTCCATAGCAGGGCTCTCTGCATTCTGGGATTTTTTTCATGATGCATTGTGGGATGCCTACCAGAACCTACTGGAATTCTGATACTTGAGATCAAACTTACAAACGTCTCTGGTTCCTCTCCTGATGATCCATAATTCATCCGTTTTTTTTGCAAGACAGCACCATTTTCCAACTGCTGCCAGACAGCATGCAGGAAACACTGCTGAGCACTGTAATTCTGACAGGCATTCGTTCAAACTGGCTGTTCCACATGAATTGGCTTTCCCACCAGTGGATGGCTTAGAGGGGTTGTGGGACAGACCTGGTGATGCCACAGTGATAGAGCTATGGAAGGAGGAGGATGGGGTAGAATATCACGCTGTAGAAAGGCTCCTTCACTAGAGATCTGTGCAGCGCTCGCCCTAGAGCTGCAGCGGCAGAATGCCAACACAAGAGTTCCCTGCAGCATGGAGATGCATGTGGCCATTGCTGTCTGGAAGCACCCAGCCCTGACAGCTACGGGTCAGTAGCTATCTAGACTGGTTTTAGTAGATGAATTGTCAGAGGCATTTTCATGGAGCTGGGGACTGCTATGGAGAGGTGCTGCTGGGAGCTTGGCAATGCATGGGAGATTATTGATAGATTTGCTCGGTTGGGGTTCCCAGATTATGTAGGAGTGATTGATGGGGACCCATGTTCCTGATATTCGTCCCCAACACCAGGTCTAAGAGGCCATCATCAAAAAGAGGTCTGGTGCTGCAAGGCCTCTGATCACTGTGCAGCGTTCGGCATTATTAATGTGCGGTGGCCATGGTGCCAGGATCTTTAGAAACTCAGACCTGTTTTACACATTGAAAAAGCAGACTTTTGCCCCGTTGGCCATTATAGACATAAATGGTTTTGAGATTGCTCCTGTTGTGCCTAAAGGGTGAAATTTGACCCTTGAATATGCAGTTGTGACATTCTTTTACTTCAACGCTATAAGGTAAATGATACAATAGAATAGCTCACACTTGAATCATATGTGTATTCTTGTATTCAAACCTAACCGAGGCCCCATTTTTAGGCCAAGTTACCCACAATTCAACTTGGAAGTGCTTTACACAGTTTTATTATCCTTAAGTTAACAGACTTTCTAACTATATAAATGTTATAGTAAAGAAGAAGAATGAATGTTCTCTTGCGACTTTCAGGAGGAAAATATGATTGTAAAGCAAGGAATAAACAAAGGCCTCTTAATAAAGCCACACATTTTAGACCCTAAGAGTGACCTGCCTTTCTCTTCATTTAGATTTCTATATAACCTTGTGAATGAACCTGTACTGGGAAGTCAGAAATAAGATGTAACACACTGAAAGGTCTCAAAATGGACTTAGTAACAAAATAGATGCTTCAATTTATCTCCTAATAAGTGACATCAAACTTTATAAAGGGTGCTACAATTCGTTTTCTCTGTGTAAATGCAGACAGTACTTCCTTGCTGAAAGGTATCAAGGACCCACATAAAGGAGCTATAAAATTAAATCTCAGCCAGGAAAATGAGAACAAAAACCTATCTCCAAAATTGTTCTGAAGATGTGGTTTCATCACAACCATTAGTGCACCTCTTAGGAATGTGCAAAACTTAATATGTAATCTCACAACATTCCCTAATTCAGGGGTAGGAAACCTATGGCACGCATGTCAAAGGTGGCATGCGAGCTGATTTTCAGTGGCACTCACACTGCCCGGGTCCTGACCACTGGTCCTGGGGGCTCCACTGCTGGCCTGGGGTACTGGCCGCCAGCCCACTGACAGCTGGGGTTCCATCCGCCAGCCCCTCTCAGCCCGCTGCCGGCCCTAGGTCCTGGCCACCAGTCTGGGAGGCTCTGCTGCTGGCCTGGGGTCCTGGCCACTGGCCCAGGGCTCTGCAGCCCACTGGCCCCATCCTGGGTCAGTGAGGGGTGCAGACGGGCAAGAGGGGGCACAGCTCAGCACCCCCACCTTAAAAATGTCCCAGCACAGTGGTGCTGGAACAATTTTTAAGTCCTGGTTTGCTGCTTACATCACTATCATGCCACATGGAACAGCAAACTGCGTTTGACGTTGAGATTAGAATGTACATGCAAGAACTGATCCTTGCTGATCTTAAACGCAAAAAAGAGGCTTATAAGAAGTGGAAGATTGGACAAATGACCAGGGAGGAGTATAAAAATATTGCTCAGGCGTGCAGGAGTGAAATCAGGAAGGCCAAATCACACTTGGAGTTGCAGTTAGCAAGAGATGTTAAGAGTAACAAGAAGGGTTTCTTCAGGTATGTTAGCAACAAGAAGAAAATCAAGGAAAGTGTGGGCCCCTTACTGAATGCGGGAGGCAACCTAGTGACCGAGGATGTGGAAAAAGCTAATGTACTCAATGATTTTTTTGCCTCTGTCCTCACGCACAAGGTCAGCTCCCAGATTGCTGCACTGGGCAGTACAGCACCAACCCTCTGTGGAGAAAGAAGTGGTTCGGGACTATTAGAAAAACTGGACGTGCACAAGTCCAGGGGGCCGGATGCGCTGCATCCGAGGGTGCTAAAGGAGTTGGCGGGTGAGATTGCAGAGCCATTAGCCATTATTTTTGAAAACTCATGCCGATCGGGGGAGGTCCCAGTGACTGGAAAAAGGCTAATGTAGTGCCCATCTT